ATACTGCTTACCATCTATGGGGGAGTCCAGCTTGTGGCCTCTGGCCTCGTGCAGCTCAGGGTGGCTGTGAATGCAACCCAGCACATAATTGTAAACTTACTTAAGACATTATCAGATGTTTTTGTGTGTGACTTTTTGCGGAACTCAATTGCTCAGTTCTCCAGCATCAACTTTGCGGATGATGCATCTCAGTGTGACATAAACACGCATGTGCTCTCACTCTGCGCCTGCCTTGGGGCTCCAGTGTTATGGCGGGGTGCAGCTTCCTGTGTGTCAACTCCAACCACGGACAGTAGACCCGACAGCATCTGATGTTACTCGTGCTCATGGTGACTTGGCAAAGCTGCAGTTACCAACAATATTTCAATCTACCTTTGCACTGTTAGGCATTTTCCGTTATTTGGAAGTCAGGTCATCAGCTGTGTTTCATAACCAGACTTCCACCTCATCCTACCTCGGTAGCCAAGATGTGGAAAGGCCCAAATCTTGTTTTCCATTTTCCTGTCACTTAATTTGCATATTAAAAGTAAATATAGTCCCTTCTGTATTATTTTTAAAATTCCAGCATGGTGGCAGCTTCTATAATGGCTCAAAAGAAAATCAAATCCCATAAAAGAAAAATTATAGGTGAAGAAGATTGTTCAACAAAAAGTGGACAGATGACTACTTTTTTTTTTTTTTCCAGTTTTGGGCCAGGCCCAGGTTTGAACCCGCAACCTCCCTATATAGGGCCAGCACCCTACTCCTTGAGCCACAGGCACCACCCCAGATGACTACTTTTTTGTCACGGTGGGTAGTAAGTCACTCAGTTTAATTTGTGAGAATTTTGTGCAAATTTTCAAAGACTATGATTTGAGGAGGCATTATATGCAAAAGCATGCTGCCAAATTTAATGCATATGAAGGATTGTGCTGTAAGGACAAAGTAGAGGAACTGGAAAAAAGTTTTTCTTTTAAAATAAAAACAGAATTTTTTTTTCTAAAAGTTACAACTCAGGCAGATTCCATTGTAAAAGCTAGTTATGTGGTAGCTTATTTAACAACAACAACAACAACAAAAGAAAAATCAAAACCATTTACTGATGGTGAGTTTAGTAAGCGATGTATGGAAAGTGAAGCAGATGTGATTTTCCATGAAAAACAGGGGATATTTCTAAAACAAGTTCGTCTCACCAGATGATAGCCAGGAGAACTGAAAACTGGAAAATCTATCCAAAGAATTTTGGGAGTAAAGCTGCTAATTTTAAATTTTAGACTTTGGTGATGGATGACAGAAGTGACAATACAAATATGGTTCAACTTGGCATTTTTTCTTGGAGACATTGATGACGAATAGAACGTCACTGGAGAAATAGCTTCTCAATGACATTAAAAGACACAACTAAGAGTTTCATACAAAGTAGTAAAAATATGTTAATGCAATTTTCTTTGTCCACTGTCAACATATCTGGTATAGTGACTGATGGTGCCTCGGTGATGATAGGTAAAAGAGACGACTTGGAAAATTAATAGAAGACATTGTGATTGCTGCCCCAAATCCATGTTTGATCCTCTATCCATCGTTGCATAGAGGATCAAGAAAATGTATGTGCAAAACTTTTAAAAATGGATAATGTCATGTAAGTAATGTCATGTAAATAATCATCAAGACTGTGAATTTCATAAGGGCCAAGAGATTGAATCATCACCAATTCAAGAAATACCTTAAAAGTACTGATGCTGACTGTGGTTACATCATTTGGATTTTGAAAGTAAAATTGAGGCCAAGTGTTGAAAAGATTCATTATTTTTGATGTTATCAAATTGTTTATATTATTAAAAACTAAATTTATGCCAGCACTCGACAATGAAAACTAGCTTACAGATTTACTGATAGCATTTTTAATTTTAAATGAGTTAAACATGTATCTTCAAGGTGAAAACCACCTTACCAAGAAGAACAGCATTACAAAAGAAAGTGATAGTGTGGCAAACTCAGATTAGAGCAAACATTTTCATGCATTTCGACTTGTTGACTAACCACCATCTTTTGACCAGTGAAAAAATACACAGCCCTGCTTTTCGATTTGGTACAAGAATTTGAAAACAATTTTCAAGATTTCTGGGAAAATTATATTTTGGTGCATTTGAGACTCCATTTTCATTCGATGTAAATGCGTTACCTGCCAATTTTTGAAGGCAGCGCACAGAACTACAATCTAGCATTGAACTTAAAAGAAAAATCTGATCAAGTCTCTTCACTGGACTTTTGTAGGTCCTGTCCTCCCAGAGACAAATATCCCTCACTTCACAGTCACGCCCTGTTCATATCATTGCATTTTGACAGCACTTACATTTTCAGCAACTGTTTTCAAGAATGAAGCGTATTAGCAGTAAAATTAGAATGAAAATATCTGATGAACATCTTGAGAACTCACTGAGAATTGCAGCTACTTCCATCGGACCAGATGTTGATGCAATAGTTTCTCAAATACGATGTCAAATATCCCCAAGTTTTATGTTGCCTAGTTTTCTTTCATAATAAAAAATAACAAAATAACCAAAGGCTTTTTATTATTTAGGATATGTACATTTTCTATTTGTAATCACACACTTGGAACCTGCTTGATTATTTTGAAAGACTGAATATTTAGGATTATTATATGAGTATCTTTTTGCTTATCTGTAGGGGGCAGATACCACAAAAATTACGTGTAAACCTTTTTTTTTTTTTATTTTGCTCATCGACTTCCATTAGTGTTTGTGTAATTATTGTGTGGCCCAAGACAACTCCTCTTCTTCCAAATTAAATGTTCTAATATAAGATTATCCAACAAAAAGAAATAGGAAAATCTGACACAGTTGTTGAAACAACTATCATCAAAACACTGATGTATAAAAATGATTCCTCAACCCATGGTGATTGGACTGATCACTTGGCCAATTTAATTCTTGTTTGAACTGAAGAATTACTATAAAATAGAACTGAGAATCAAAGTCATGTATAGACCTAATTTACACAAAAGTATAGATTACCAGGCAGCACCTGTGGCTCAGTGAGTAGGGCGCTGGCCCCATATACCCAGGGTGGGGGGATTTAAACCCAGCCCTGGCCAAACTGCAACAAAAAAAACAGCCGGATGTTGTGGTGGGTGCCTGTAGTCCCAGCTACTCAGAAGGGTGAGGCAAGAGAATCACCTAAGCCCAGGAGTTGGAGGTTGCTGTGAGCTGTGATGCCACAGCACTCTACTGAGGGTGATAATGTGATACTCTGTCTCTAGATAGATAGATAGATAGATAAACTGTGGCAAAGGGGCTTAGTTGTGCTTTTCAGGAAATATTGGCATGAGAAATGTAAGTCTATAAACCAATAAATATCTTCACTGCTTTTTATTTCCCCCCCAGAGATTTTTCACTGATTTATTGAACACAAAAGTCTACTCTTTTGGGCCAACTGTTTACTTATCAACTGCAACTTGCTCATTAGGACTCACTTTAAGACAGTCACTCACTCCCTGTGTCCACCGACCTGATCTATCATGTAACAAACTGCCCCATCCTAACAAGTTCACAAGCTGGAGAGATCTGCTTCCATCCACCCAGCCCAGACGGAGATGCCTTAAAGTATACTATTTCTTTCTCTCCTTTTAAGACACTGACAAAAAGTGTGCTTCCTACTACAGGTTAAGTCCTTATCAATTTAGCTTTACTTCATTAACAAGTCTTCTGGTAATAGTGTAGATGAGTTCACCAGTTTTCATCCATCAGAGATGCTTGGAGACAACACAAGATGGTGAAACATAATTCTACTACTAACTTTTTGTGTGTCCATTAACCTTTCTAGACCTCAATTTTCTCATTTCTAAAATGAAATTTGGTGCAGACATTCTATAAGTTTCTTTTTATTAAATGTCAATGAATAATGAATCTATGACTAGAGACAAGGAGTTTTTTCATGATTGAAAACTCATTTTTTAATGATCTTCTGGGTAGTTTCTGTCTGATATTTAATATTTTTCTTCTTGTATCAGTCATTTCAGTACAAAGATATCATTCAGATCTTCTTTAGATACCTTGTGTGCTTATATATCCAGTACACCTATTATTTCTGATGACTGACGTCTCACATTAAACTTTCATTTCATAATGAAATGAGTGTTCTTTTTGTGGTGCCCAGTTTAGTTCTTAACCACAGTACTTACAGGACTCAATGTATTACTTTCTGCATCTTTAGGATGAGTTCAACTGTTGGTTCATACAGTAAACAAATACACACAACTCATTTAATACATAACTGCTCTTTTCCCATAGAAAAACTCTTTTCGTTTAAAAAAAAATTTAAAACACCTTTTAAAAATGACAAAGTTTGAGCTCTCCTAGTAGACTATAGTAGTTAGTGGCTAGTTGACTTTCACTGAGTTGCTCCAGGCTAAGCGAAGCCTTGGAAATTCTCAAGGAGTTCTTAAGTCTCCTGATCTCTGGGGTATTATGGACTTCTCAAGAGAATGAAGAAAGTCTATTTTGCTAGAAGCACTCTGTGAAAATGCCATTTTTAAGGGTTTTCTCTGTAGACTCAGACCTCATTATTCCTTTCTTCAGGCAATGGGAAGTTTTGAATATGCACTTGTTTTATTACTTAGCCTTTGAGAATAATTCTCTTGAATATGTAAGTATTGGCTGAAAAGGACCATTATCCTATCCAATTATAATTACTTTGTCCATCAGCTAAGTAAGCAATTCCTGCTGCACATTATACAGATGCTATGATGGTTGATGTTGATGTGGAGTCAATAAAACACATAGAATATTAATAATATATCTACCTGGAAGGAACAACACTGTGATCCATAAGAAATACTATGTTTAATAGGCACCCCCCGAGAGAGGTAGCCACCAAGTTAAAGACAATATACAATATATATTAATATGTTATTTGTGCATTTTATCTATATTATATATATAGTTTGATATCTGTAATATATATGAACAGAGATAAAAATAGACTCTGACAATATAATAGATATGGCAGTCACTGTGAAAGGTAGAGTAAGACATTTCCAAGTGATTTAGGGAATATGGATTAAGCAGCCCAATGAGCCTTCATAAAGAATGGATGGTGAAAAGATTAAACAGGATAGTAAGGGATGAGGAAGAAAAGTACAGGCAGGTGTAACAGCATAGACAACGCCATAACATGGTGTGAAAGTGCCTTCGGAGGCTGTAGATAGGCTACATTCACCATAACTGGTTAGGCAAAATTAAGAAATAAAAATGACATATAGTTTTTTTTTTTTTCCTCGGGTTTGAACCCACCACGTCTGGTATATGGCACTGGTGCCCTACTCCTTGAGCCACAGGAGCCACCCACATACAGATTGTGTTTTTAAGTAACATAGTGACTGTAAGTCCCCAAGTGTTACTTTGTATATTACTCATCATAGATGTTCACAAGATTTAATGTCAAATTTTATGGTTATTACAAAGTAATTTTGTTATAAAAAGATCAAACGTGTGGGTATGTATAAAATAGATAGCCATAACCTCATGCCTCTCACTGAGCAATGAAACCTCCTTTTAAATCCTTGGAATAAAATATGTTTCTATGACAGACATTCCATATAGTTTAAGAGATTTTGTTTTGTTTTGTTTTGTCATGGAATAGTGTTCAGAAATTACTTTTTTCACCATACTTTGGTATAAATAAACGTAGTTTTGCATTTAAAAACCCATATTTACTAAAAGGAATGATACAATTCTATGTTGTCCCTCATTCACAATATATGTAGATTTTGGGGTCATATTTTCATTAACTGCAAGTTATTTTACCATTAGGTCACCAGCATTAGCAAAAATTCTATTGTGGAAATTTAATTATTTTCTCATATTATCGTATCAGTAATGTAATTTTAGGCATTTATCTTTGCAAATGTGTGAGAATAGTTTATGAGATAATCTCTTAGAAGGTGAGTAGCTAATTTGAAGGTTGTACATTTTAAAATTTAATTGTAGTAAATAATATACAAGAGCCCATTTGATCCTCTAAGGCAGTGGTTCTCAACCTTCCTAATGCCACAACCCTTTAATACAGTTCCTCATGTTGTGGTGACCCCCAACCATAAAATTATTTTTGTTGCTACTTCATAACTGTAATTTTGCTAC